TCTATACTAAACCATTATTACATTTCTGTACGCAGGATTTTCTTGATGTTTGGAAATCTCGTTGTTTATAGTATATTAACTTTCAAACTACAAGTGTTCACGGAAACAACAACCTCATTCTATTATACGGAGCTAAATATAAGTGAAATTTAAATCTCTATGAATTCGGTTATTATTTGTTTGATGAAATTAAAGGCTGTTTGTTAGGATTTGTGATTAGGACTGACTATTAAAAAAAAAAAATAATTTGACCGGTCGATCGTATGACTGTTAGAAAGTTTTAAATTCCTCAAAACTATTGCCTTGGAATGCACTCTGTTTTCTGAGTATTCTTTTCCACAAAAAATAATTAAATGCAGATAGATACACCCTAAATTTTTTTTTTTGAAGTTTGAGTAATTTATAGTTTTGCTATTTTTTTTGAAATCATTTATGTTGCTGCAAGTGGGAAGTTTTTTAACGTTTATTAAAGTTTCTCAAATGCTGATGGAATGAATTAAAACAAGCAAATGTTTCTTTTCTTATATTTTTTTGATTAAAACTAATGAAAATTTTTGTGTGAGTTGTTTATGAGACTGATTCGAAACAGTTTTTAATTTTGTAAGTGTGCATAAATTTTGTTTTTTCTTTTTCTATTTTTTTCTGTCTTTCATTGCACATTGTAATGCATCAAATTGGAAACGATAGTTTTGTCAAAAACTTTGCAATTTTTTTTGGTTGGTACATTGAACAAATGATAAGAAACCATTAAACAGACTGCAGAATAGACCAATCATCTTTTTGCATTTACAAGTTACTAGTTCCTTTTTTTTTTTGCACTCCAAGACTTTGTTGCTCTTTTTTTCACTTATTTAAGACAATAAATAAATAAATGAAGGATAGAGATAGATCTTTTTCAAAGATTTGGCTATTTTTCTTTTTGGCTCTGCTACTGAAGCTGCGAAAAATCGCTGTTTTGCACATCACATATGCTACCAAATGTCCAGTAATTTATCAGTTTCAAAATAAAATCTATTTGGCAAAGTAAAAAAAATCATTTCACATCTTATTGAAAATTTCTTTCTTTTTTATTTTTTGCTAGTATTTTGGTAATTTTCATAATAAATTATAACTGAATGATACCGTAATCCTGAGCATATTATCTAAACTTTGAATAATCGACAAGTTTGGATTTGATAACTGCGCTTGAATCACTGGACATTTTACGCTGTTACTGGCACTGTGCAATCACTGTTGCAGTGAATTTGTTAATTCTGAATTTGATGGCTATATTGGATCAGTAAGAATCTTAGCTTCAAACTACTAAAAAAACTCTTAATATTTTCAATTTTTGTCGCTGTCAGTTAAAATGAGCAGCTCAACCAAACATTATTGTGTTCAAGTCTTTAACTGTAAGATTTTTAATTCTGTAAAGGCGCTAAAAAATTTTTTTTCGTAAGCGCTATCTTTGGCTGTTCTTATCATCAGGTTTGAGGAATCACTGTTTCACGTAGGTCTAATAGCTCCAAAGGAAGAGTATCTTTGACAAAAGAAGT